TAATAGCACATGTTACCCACTTTAGATGTTTGTCTGGAATATCAACCCTAATTAAAATTCAGCAGTGATTATTTTGAAGATGTTCTGTAGAGAATAAGGTACTTGTGGTGTTAATAATTGACAGATAATACATAGTTCCTGAGGTAAAATAATCCTTGTAATTCTAATACAATTAGAAATTACTGTCAAATTATAGGGTCATGTTCACTTTTGTCTCTAAGGTATTTGAATTTATAAATCATATCAGGAAGCATGAAAGGGGACCAGCAGCTAGCGTAATGGCTATGTCACTGGACTCCCATGTAGTCGACCATGGTTCAAGTTCCAGAACCGGTTGCTTAAACTCAACACTGGGTGCATGTGCGTGTGTGCCTAAGATCCCAAGAGGAGAATGGAGGAGAAGAGACTGCAGCATGGCCATCCCCTCTTCGGGGGTGATTTCTTGCTTTCTGTCTCTCTCTGTCTTTCTGGCGAGCACACGTGCCCTATAGCAAAAACCCCTCAAAAAAAAAAGCATGAAAGAAAACAAGTTAAATGTGAACAAGAGGAAAGAATTTATACCTAGTAAATTACAAGTAGGAATCTGTTCTTCCTGAAGCAAAACCTCAGCCTTCTGCCCTTAGGTCCAGGTTCTGCCCAAAAATTTCCAGCCCTGAACCCAAGGCTTCATCCTCACCTTCTAAGTCAATGGGAACTGAGATGGAAATAAGGGCAGAAACTGAGAGATTGAAATGTATAAAGGAATGGAGAGCAACTGTGGATACCAGAGATAGCATGGGGAAAAGATGGGTAATGGGGAACCAAAAGGTAGAAATTAAAATTTAAAAAGCAATACAGTTTAGGAACACTAAAATAGAAAATTATCTGTTGATGATAATGTTTACAGTAGTATGTTGGATTGGACTAATATACAGTGTACTCATGCTGGGGAAATTCATTTTGTGTGCTGTAAAGATCTGCAGTATTTAAATATAAAATGAATAAAAGATTTCAACACACAATATTAAAGAGGCAGTTGAATTACAAATAAATACACAAATACAATTACAAATTCAATAGTAATTAAAGAAATGAAAAATTAAAATCAGCTTAAACTAACACTAGTGCCTTAATTATCATGCCATCTACTGGCCCCACACTTTCCCTTCTTATTGTCTCTAGTGAACAGATGTGCCCCATAGCAAAACTTAATAAATAAATAAAACAAAAATACTAAGAATGAAGACTAAGAATTCATTAGCTAATCAATCTTAATAGTTTAGATATGGGAAATTTACTAAAAGATGATTGGAAAAGAGAAAGTTATAAGAAGCCGTCAAATAAAATAAAATAAACATATCAGAGAAAGAATCAGCAATGCCAAATGTTAGTTCTCTAAAACAAATTCAGAGAATGGGGCCAGCAGATGCCATGATGGTTACATCACTGGACTTTCACGTAGTTGACCCCAGCCCCAGTGACTTAAAACTCACACTGGATGCATGTGCATGTGTGCCCAAGATCCCAGGAGGAGAATGGAGGAGGAGGGACTGTGATAAGTTCATCCCCACTGGGGGGTGAGTTCTCACTTTCTGTCTGTCTCTGTCTTTCCAGCGAGTATACATATCCTATGGCAAAAATCTCTCTCAAGAAAAAAAAAATTCAAAGAAATCTGTCAATTTTGATAACAAATGTATATTCTTGTAATGATAACATACACACACATACACATACGAATACAAATTTTATAAAGTAATAAAAATCAAGCGGTGTAAAACTAGAAATGAGATGAATAAACAGACCAGTTGAACTATTAAGAGAAACTCTTAAAAATACCTCTGACTTTTGGTAACTTGTATCAGTGAAAGAGACGACACTTCAGAGAAGCAGGGAAAAAATATTTTCCAAAGAGCATTAGCTGTGAAGACAATATTTATCTGTGTAGCAAAAAAATTATGCTGTACCTTTTCTGCACATGTTATATAATAATTTCCAAAGATACCATTTAAGGAAGTTATAGGGCCTCCTGGCTCAGGAATGCGTTGGTATCTCACACTGTTCACAGTGGATTAAAACTGGATAATTCAGAAAGATAGCAGTAGTACAATTACAGTCTACTTGTCATCTTTTGTGTCTTGAGTTTGGTGTTTTAATGCTGGACCTTTGAAATTTTGAGCTTGGTGGCACACAACCTACAAATCCAATATTGTCATAAAAGTTAGTAATAGTAATGTCATTGAAGTGCAATTCTCGGGCTTGAAAAAGATTAGAGTCTTTGGGTAAGCAGTCAATGTCAATCTAGAGTTGTTTATTAGAACTTCTCCTGCATTTCTTCTCGTGAAGGTATTTGGCATATGGAATTTGATCTTTCAGGCACTTTCGAGTTAGATTATGCATTCTCACCAGAAGGAGAGAGAAGAAAAGTGAAAAATCACCCCCCAGAAAGGATGACTACATTGCAATCCTTTCTCCTCCATTCTCCTCTCAGGATGTTTCTTATGCAGGCTCATGAACTTGTGATTTTCAAGCCTCCATGTCTGGAACTAAAACTGCACAATCAGGCATTTGGGACCCAGATGCCTTAAATTACATGTACAAGCTTGTGTATATTTGTGCTCTCTCTCTCTGTGATATATCTAAATTATTTAATTTTAGTTATTATGATTATTTAATTGATTATATGGCACACACACTCACTGACCATTGGGGGATTGGTTCCAGAAAGCAAGCCACCAGGTCCTGTTCCAGAACTCGAACCATGGACAGATATGTAATATTCAAGCACCTTGACCTACCTGCCAGCTCCTCTGTCCTCATATTTTCTTTAATGTCTCTCCTTAATTTCAGTTGACTAGTACCTTACATATATTGTTAGTTACTGTGGTAGAATATCTTTATCCTTCAGTGCTTCTCTCTTAACAGTGATACTGCCATTCACACCAAGATATATACCTATTACATTAAAGAACAACATCCTAAATCTTTTTAAATTAAAGGCATTTAATATACATCAATATTTTAAAATATACCATCTGTGGAGGGAGCACAGAATTTCTTTTGCTAGAGCTATGAATATTTAAAAATATATTAGCACTAAGTAATTTTTAAAATTTCTAGAATGTTAAAAATTTAGGCCAGCCTATGGAATGAAGGTTAAGTCAGCAGGATCTCACATGCCAGTTGCATGGTTTGATTCCTGAACCCTTGAGAATCACAGTAGGCACATGTACTTGTACAACCTAAATCCTGAAAGAAGGGAGAAATGGAAGAACATGAATTCTGTCATGAACATTTCTCCTCTCGGATGATTTTTCACTTTCCATTTGCATCCCCCAGAAACACATGGACACTTTATAATTATTTAACAAACTTTTTCTTGTTTTAAATTGTCTGGTTCTGTTTCTCTATCAGTAAAT